CAGCCAGGGGAATCCTGATCCCATTCCTGAGGAATTCCTGGTGGTTGGAACCAGGAGCTCCCAGCTCCTGCAGGAAAGGTTGGCAGAGCTGGGAAAGGTGAAGGGAATTTTTTTTTTTTTTTCCCCCCTCCTCCTCTCCATTGCTCTGTGGCAGTAAGTTCAGGGAATTGGTGCTGTTTTCCCAAAAATTTCCCCCAAAATTCCCACTGGATTTCGGGAAAACTCCATCCAAACCTCTCCCAGCTTTTCAGCATGGTGATGAAGAAACACGAGCTGGATTCTGACTGATCCCAAATTCTTGGAAATTTTCACTGGGCTTTGGCAAATCTGGCCCATTCCAGGCTGGTGGAAAAGCAGGGATAGCTCAGGCCTGCAATCCTGGAATGTTTTCTGTGCTTTGTGTGAATTTTGTCAGCCTTTAGGGGATGTTTCAGCATCATTCCAAGGTTTTTTTGGTTTTTTTTGTCAAATCCATCCTCGTGATTGCAGTGGGGGTTTGGATTTCAGCTCTGGCAGTGTCAGGTGGGGGCTGCTCCTCTCTCATGGGGGCTGGGTGTCAAACGGGCTGAAAAAAAAAACTGATTTAATTCCACATTCACTCCTCTTTCCAGGAAAAAAATAATTAAAAAAAAAAAAAATCTCTGGCAAATGCAGTCATTTGGATTTCTTTTCTTGATAGAAAATAGAGGAAATCGTCAAACTCAAAATTCCTTCCAGGGAATTTTGCAAATCGAATTGCACATCAAAAAAAAATGCCCTTTGTGAGCAAACATTCCCCCAAAAAAAAAAAAAAAAAAAACCCAAACATTGGAGTGCAGGAATTGATCCTGGGATGGAATTCATTTCCTCAGGAGCTGCCACGGGGCTCACTTTGGGATTTCTGGGTGTCTTGGCCGTGTTTTTGTCGTTGTTTGAGGAAGGAAAACGTCTGACACGAGGTCCTGGGCATTGAGAAATGAGGAGCTGATGTTGCAACCCCAGCGTGGCACAATCCCAGTTCCTGGCCCAGTTTGGGATCCCCACACCAGTTCGAGGTGGGTCATTCCCGCTGGGAAACGAGTGGGGGGGCAGGAAGGGAAGGAGGGAATGTTCTCCTGGATTTTGGTGTCATTCCATGGAATTTCCATTTCTCCAGGAGCAGCAGGTCCTCATCACCCCCTCCCCTACTCATCCTCATCATCCTCACCAAAAATCCTCGGGTTTTCCTCGTTCCCACGTGGAATTTCACTGGGATTTTTTTTTTCCAGGGATGCTGCTGCCTGCCCTGGGCAGCGTTGTGCTGCTCACCCCCTGCTCCTGTCAGGCACCGTGGGCTGTTCCTGGCAGGGAAGGAGCAGGGAAGGAATGTGGGAATGCAGAGGGGGTGGAAGCTGTGCCAGAACGTCCCTGCTCAGCTCCCTGCTCTGCCCACGCTCCTGCTCCAGCCGGGACAATCCCAAATTTCGGAGTTTTCCCATCAGAACCGAGTTGGTGAAGCCAGAGGGAAGAGCAGCAGCTTGGAGGGAGAGGGGAGATTTTTCCTTTTGGGATGTTTTCCCTTCGTGGAGAGTCAAAAATCCGGCAGAGGCTGAGCCCTGTGGAATTCTGTTTGCCATGATTCCGTCGGCCTCACGGAATTTCCCCGTGCTCAGGAGGGAACACCGAGTCCAAGCCCTTGTTTGTTCCTCTCTCAGCACTCAGGGCACTCAGTTTGTTCCCCAAACCGCCAGAAGTTCAGGGCATCCCACATTCCCAGAGGTCTTGTCTTGGTTTTAGTTAGTTTTGGTTTTTTG